ACGCTTCCGGCCGAGTTCGGGGCTCCCGGGGGGGCCTCATGGGGGGTCCAGTGGGGCCCCGCTCCTTCGGGGAGCTGGCGACCCTTCTGTGTACAGTTGTGGCCCCCATGTGCCCCCATGTGGCACCCATGCGTCCCCCTCGGCCTCGTCTTCCTCCTCCTCTCCCTCGTTCCCTCGTCGCCCTCCAAAAAAAACGAAATCCGTCGTAACGCTCGGCGGGTGGAGAAAAAAAAAAATCATAGTCGGCAAGAGGTGGGCGGCCGTCTATGAGAGGTCGGAGGGGGGCGCCTCTTGGGAAGCGGGGGCCTGCTCGGAGGGGCCCCCCCGGCTCAAATCGGACCGGGGCCCAAGGGACGGGGGTCGGTGCGAACGCGGAACACCCCCCGTCCAGGTCCAGGGGAGGGGGCATTGGGAGGGGTAAACCCCTCCCCGAGGGGGTATTGGGAGGGGTATTGGGAGGGGGTATTGGGAGGGGAGGGGGTTGGAAGAGGACACTCTCTAGACCACCGACGCCCAGAGGGCTGGTGGGATTCAGCGAATCGTTGGCAATTGCCGTTTCGCCTGAGACATCCTCGAAAGTGTGACATGTTGAAGCCGTGTGGTCGAGACGTTGTTCGTTAAACATGAGGCTCCCGCTCGAGACATCCTCGGAAAACGGCACTCGCCGCATCTTAGCTCGAGGTCTTGTTTCCTCCGTCTCGTCCGTCTTCTTCGTCTCTGAGGTCTCTTCCGTCTTTCAGGTCTCCATCTCCGTCTCCTCCGTCATCCTCCTCCTTCTCCTTTTTCCCTTTCTCATCCTCCTCCTGGCCTCTTGGGCGGTCCTGAGGCCATCCTGGGCCATCATGGGGCCATATTGGCTCGTAGCGAAGGCATGTTGAGCCGTCTTGGCGGCTTTGATGGCCTCCCAGGTCCGTCTTGGAAGCCAGCATGGGCATGTTGGACGCCGTCTCCGTCTCTGAGGTTTCCTCCGTCTCCTCCGTTTCTGAGGTCTCCTCCGTTTCTGGCCCCCCCCTTCCGTCTCTGAGGTCTCTGAGATCTCTTCCATCTCTGAGGTCTCCTCCGTCTCTGAGGTCTCTTCCGTCTCTGAGGTTTCTTCCGTCTCTAAGGTCCCCTCCGTCTCTGAGGTCTCTTCCGTTTCTGAGGTCTCCTCCATCTCCTCCGTTTCCGTCTCCTCCTCCCCCCCCATGTTCTTCCTCCTCCTCCTCTTCCTCTTCCCCCTTCTCCTCCTCTTCCTCCTCCTCCTCTTCCTCCTCCATCTCCTCCTCCTACCCCTCCTTCTCCTCTTCCTCCTTCTCCTCCTCCTCCTCCTTCTCCTCTTGGTCCTCAACCAACGCTCTAGATGACAACCGTTGGGACATTCAGAGAATCCTCCGATTGCACCCCATGTGCGCACACTGGTGTTGGGTGCAAGTCCGTGCGCAAGTGCGCCCGCGAGCTCAGAGAAGCGGCGTCTCCCAGAAGTTTCCCCCCAGAACGGCCGTTTCGTTCGAAGCATCCTCGAACGAATGAGATGTTGAATCCTTGTGGTCAAGACGTCTTCTTGCAGAGAAGAGAACAAACCATGAGGCCCTCGCTAGAGACATCCTCTGAAAATGAGCTACGGAGTTCGCTCGCGAAAGGCAGCGACTCGTTGGCAACTGCCGTTTCGCATGAGACATCCTCGAACAATTGAAATGCTCAAGCCGTGTGGTTCAGACGTCGTTCGTTAAAAATGAGGCTCTCGATAGAGACATCCTCGGAACACGGCACTCGCAGAATCTTAGCTCGAGGTCCTGTCTCCTCCGTCGTTTCCGTCTTCTCCGTCTCTGAGGACTCCTCCGTCTCTGAGGTCTTCCGTCTCCTCCGTCATCTTCCTCCTTCTCCGTTTCCCCCTCTTCCTCCTTCTCCTGGCCTCTTGGGCGCGGTCCAGCGGCCGTCCTGGGCCATCATGGGGCCATCTTGGGTCGTAGTAAAGGCATGTTGAGCCGTCTTGGCGGCTGTGATGGCCGCACAGGTCCGTCTCGGAAGCCAGCATGGGCATGTTGGACGCCGTCTCCGTCTCTGAGGTCTCCCCTGTCTCCTCCGTCTCTGAGATCTCCTCCGTCTCTGAGGTTTCTGAGGTCTCGAGGACTCCCCCGTCTCTGAGGTCCCCTCCGTCTCTCCTCCGTCTCTCCGGCATCCTCCTCCTCTTTCCCCTCGTCCTCATCCTCCTGGCCTCTTGGACGGTCCTGAGGCCATCCTGGGCCATCATGGGGCCACCTCGGATAGTGTTGAAGGCATCTTGAGCCGTCTTGGCGGCTTTGATGGCCTCCCAGGTCCGTCTTGGAAGCCATCATGGGCATGTTGGGCGCCTTCTCCGTCTCCTCCGTTTCTGTGATCTCCTCAGTCTCTGAGGTCTCCTCCGTCTCTGAGGTCTCTTCCGTCTCGAGGTCTCCTCCGTCTTTGAGGTCTCCTCCGTCTCTGAGGTTTCTGAGGTCTCTGAGGTCTCCTCCGTCTCTGAGGTCTCTTCCGTCTCTGAGGTCTCCTCCATCTCCTCCGTCTCCGTCTCCTCCTCCCCTCCTCCTGTTCCTCCTCCTCCTCCTCCTCCTCCTCCTCCTCCTCCTTCTCCTCCTCCTCCTCCTCCTCCTCCTCTCCCTCCTCCTCTTCCTCCTCCCCCTCCTCCTCCTCCTCCTCCTCCTCCTCCTCCTCAGCCAACGCTCTACATGGCAACCGTCTGGACAATTCGAGAATCCTCAGATGCACACCATGCGCGCACATTGGTGTTGGCTGCAAATCCGTGCGCAAGTGCGCCCGCGAGCTCAGAGAAGCGGCGCTTCCCGTTCTTGTCCGGAAAGGTTCCCCCAGAAACGGCCGTTTCGTTCGAGACATCCTCGAACAATTACGATATCGAAATCGTCTGTTTGAGACGCCATACGTTAAAAGTGATGTTTTCGTTCGAGTGATCCTCGAAAACACGAGGACGAGGAGGAGAAGGAAGAGGAGGAGGAAGAGGAGGAGGAGGAGGGAAAGGAGGAGGAGGAGGAGGAAGAGGAGGAGGAGGAGAAGGAGGAGAAGGAGGAGGAGGAGGAGTTGGACGAGGAGTTGCAGGAGATGGAGGAGGAGTTAGAGGAGGAGGGGGACGAGGAGGAAGAGTACAACACGCTTCCAGCGCATGAATGCCCATATAGAGCATACACCACGTAAACAAGACACCACTTACACTAAACATAAAGCGTACGCACACCCTGCGCCGTTCCCGCCCGCCCGCGCGGCACACACACCGTACGCACACCGTACACACACACACACACACACACACAGCCCGCTCGCCAGGCACACACCCTGTATACGCCCGCGCACACACGCGCACACACAGGCGCGCACAGGCGCACACACACACACACACACACACACACACACACACACACATCACACACGCGCGCGCGCACACACACATACACACACGCGCGCATGCATATCCGCACACAAGCATTGGCCATACGCAATACATGACCAAATCAACCGCAGGCAACCACAAAACACGAGCTACCAATGGCGACCATCTGGGCACTTACGGGAGCCCAGCGACTGCATCCATGTGCACGCATGCGCGTTGGTTGCAAATCCATGCGCGCGCGTGCGCACGCAAGCTCGAAGAAGCGGCGCTCCCCGTTCTTGTGCGGAAAGGTTCCCCCATCGTTTCGCCTCTTGTGCCTCCTCTTCCTCCCTCCAGCCGCTGCTCCCCATCTTTCACCTCATCATCCACTCCCTTTGCCCGCCTTCCCCATTCCTTTCCCCTCCCATCTTGCCGTCGAATGCACACTGTCCAGCGATGTTACCGACACACGAAAAATATAGTTCGTTAGCGCGTGCCCGATACAATAGTGATTGTGCACGGCCGTTGCAGAGGAACAGACGTCGAATTGTCCTGTCACGCTGGTTCCGCTTGAGTATGTCAGCGGAGCAGTTGGTAAGGCTGTTGCCACCTCGCACTCCGCCTCTCCCCGGCTGGTGATGCCTCTGCATGGTGGTGTCCTTGTCCTCTCAGTGGGGAAGCAGGTAATTCTCATATGGGGGGTGGCTTTCGTCCAGGAGTGTGCAGGATGCTTCAGACCCTGGAGGGTTCCTTGTTTGATGAGGGCGGCGGTTACATCAACGACCAAGGCCCAAGTGGTGCTCCGCCGGGGTCTCAGAATCTGGATTCCTTGTCCAATGGTTCTTTCTCCAGTACCCTCACTGTAAGCAAGCTGTAGCAACCGGGGCAGCCCCTGTTCGCTGCAGTCCCCTCGCGCGTTCACGGCTGTATCGAGCAGCGCGAGGGTGCGCTGTGTTTTTTTTTCCGAAGGCCGTTGCCAGCGATTGCAAAGGAAATGGCGCGTGTCCTTGCTTGTCCGATCCCGCTGCTCGAGGAAAGAACGGACAAGGAGATTCTGGACAGGCAGCTCCAGGCGGCGCTGCGCCCGGGGGCGCGAGGGGGCGGGAGGTGAGGCTGGAGCTCAGCTTTCGGATAAGCAACACACGGTTGGCCCACGAACCCGGAAAGAGATGGTGAAGTGCGAGGCATGGACAAGTGCTAAGGCAGTTCATGTGTAGACCCCTCTCCGTCCGCGCACGTGCCTCTCACAATGATTTGCGTACCCCCCTCTTGGAAGATCTTCTCTTGGAATCCCCCGACCATCCCTCCTCCATCCCCCTCCTCGCCTATCCTCCTCATCCTCCTCCCCCCTCTCCTCCTCCTCCTCCTCCTCCTCCTCCTCCTCCTCCTCCTCCTCCTCCTCCTCCTCCTCCTCCTCCTCCGCCTCCGCCTCCGCCTCCTCCTCCTCTAGGTCCTCTAGGTCCTTGGCGCACCATGTCCCGCTGCTGCAACACATGGCACAAAAACTGGGGTAATAAACCACGCACGGCACTTAGGGAAGGGGTCACTCTCTCCTAAGGGGGAAAGATCGTCCGAATTCCACCCCCGTAGAAGTGTCCACCCCTCCTTTGAGGAGGCCAAGTGATTGAGACGCACCCTTATTCCGAGGCCCTCCGTTGCAGGCCCTGGCGAGGAGGACCACCTTGTGCCGAACGCCCCACAGAGACTGCACCACACTCGGCCTCCTTCTCCGCTCCAAAGTCTGTGGGGGGGGTGGGCCAAGCGCGCTGTTCTGGGGAGGCCAGTACACGGAAACGCCGCTATGGCGCCTCTCGGCCAATCACGAATTCCACAGATCACACAAGCGGATCTCTTGCCCGCTCGAACAATCTCATGTCCATTTGCCTCGGACACAAGCTCCAACACCTCAGGTGTTTTGTACCGCTTCGCGCGGACCTTGTCGGCATCATTGAAATTCAGCTTGGACAGAGCTCCCCCGACCCCCGCAACCAAGACGGCACGGCCCCGCACCTGGAAATCCAGGGCTTTCAGCTCATTCAGCAGCTGCGGAGGGACAGGGTGCATCTTGGCTCCTAGCTTGGCTAGACGGTCTGCTTCTCGGCTGCCTCTCCAGGCCCACCAAGCACATCCCTGAGCAGACGCCTTAGCCCAAGACTGGTGGCTGCGAATTTTCTCGACGGTGACAGGCGCAGTTAAATCTTCACACTTGCGGAAAATCTCGCGCCAGACCTCGGCGTACGCAACATTGTCCACGGTCTGGCCGACCCCTGCATTCCAGGTATCGACGACCATCTTACAATCGCACACAACATGCACAGGCTCCACCCCCACATTCCTGAGAAGCATGAGGAGGGCGTACACTTCGGCACACCCCGACTGCTGGATAGGGTGGGGCAGGGGTCCGTATAGGGCCCCGTCCCACCCCCCGTGGCGGTCGACCTGGACAATTCCCCAACCAGCACGCTCCAAAGCAAGACCTCCAGGGGAAAGGGCCGAGCCATCGATAGCGACATTGCCACGGAAAACACCGTAGGGAGGCAAAACGCTCCAAACTTGAGCCTCGTCCTGACGGGGGGGGCCTCAAAAGCAAGGCTGGTGACCAAGCATCTGGCGGTACCGATGTCGTAAGACGGTGCTTGCTGGAAATCTTTGATGGCCTCAGGCACGTCCATCTCACGGCGGGTCATCCAGGTCGCAGGGCAATCGACGAACCTGTGCTTGGGCGTGCCCAAGTCGCCGCAAAACTTGCACTTGGGGCATAACGCCCTCCTATCTCGGAAGAGGATGCTCTGCGTCGGGAAGCCGCCCGACACACACCCTGACAGAAACGCAGCGCTCGCCACCTGGCTACGGGAACGAAGCTGCCCCAGGACCTCAATGATGGGCCCCAGGCGAGGGGCGCCCGATAGCACACTCCCGTGAAAGCTGGTGCCCTCCAAATTCTTCTGCAAAGCCAACTTGAGGACCAGGGTTTTAAGAGACCTCTTTTCCAGATACCCGAAGTCAAACAACATGCCCCTGGAGCCCTTCCAAACCACAGGATGGCTAGCAGACCAGCCCATACGCAATAAAGTACAGTACACAACACCCCCAGGACCGCGAACCTGATTACAGTCAAACCCTGGGGCCTTCTGGGCAGCCTCAAAGATGCTCGTGAGGAGACTGCGGGGCAGCCACTTCTCACGCCAAGCTTGCACCCAGGACTGGAGGGGAAGTAAGTTGGCCTGGTAGGTAGGGTCGAGGGTCGGGTCCGCGCACAGTTGGAACTCCAAGGTCCTCGATCGGCCTCGAGAAACTCCAAGCGTACTTCTAGCAATCACCGATCGTATCTGCCTGAGCCTTTTTCTGGATACTCCGTGTACCCTCGCGCCATACATACCAGCGGGGAGACCTCCAGTCTTCACAATACGCTTGGCACCGATGGCAGCCGAGCTGAGGGCACGGAAACGGTGAGCTCGAGGCTGCAGCTTTCCAATGCGACCAAGATGCACCCTAGCACTAGCCCTGCCTTTCACCTTGAAATCCACCCCCAGGTTTTTCGTGGACTGGCTGTGCCTAAACTTCCACCTCTTCAACTTGACCGATATTTCCTTCGCTACCCAACCGTGCGTAGCTACCACTACACCCTTGGTTCTGGGCGCGATCAGGCACATCCGCTCGAGCTGCTGGCAGAGGAAGAAACTGGCGAGGCCTAGACCATTGGCAACTGTCTTGCCTTTCCCCGCCATGCACAGGGCGATGCCATCCACCACGTTAAAGATTCTGACAAAACGAAACGCGTCCGCAAGCACGTCGAGAGGGCCAAGGAGGAAGACTTTCAGGAGGGTGGTAGCGAACGCGCAACCCGCCGGGATAGCCTGAACCGCGAACACCCCACGAGAACACATCTTCCCCAGGAGGACGCGCCGTTGGCCCCGATAGACCGTCAGAAGACAACGGAGAATAAAAACGTTGAAACCGTGTTTGATGGCAGCCCTGACCAAGAGGATGCGTGCCACTTTTTCATAAGCTTTGGTGAGGTCGAGGAGGGAGGACGCGAACGACATGCCTGTGTTCTGCGCAAACTCACCCATGGCCGACTGCTCCCAGACCGCCCGCTCGCACGAACGGCCAGCACTGCCATAGAAATACTCTCGTTGGTGGTCACGCTCCCAGGAAACAGCGGCCCGACGAAGCATCCGAGACATCACCCGAACAAACGCCGAGAGCAGCCCGATAGACCTGCGACCCCCATCAGGTTTTTCAATCATCGCCACCAGAATGATCTTCATCTGACTGGGAACGTGACCGAGCCGAAGAATAGCCTTCCAGAGACCTGCCAGAGCGAGCAAACAGTCGTCGCTGACCAGAAGAAGATCCCTCGGGTGGACGTTGTCGCTGCCCAGGGCGGCCCTGGTCTTAAACTTCCGGCAACGCACGCGCGGATCGCGGCTGGGTCGAACTCCCAGTCCAACATTCCGCTAGATTCCTCATCACTAATGCTGGCGGCGTGGTCATTTAGAGCCTCGAGTGGGTCCTCATCAGGAACATCCCCCCTGGAGTATTCCATATCCCCTCCCACTCCGAGGTTAAATCGCCTAAAACTTCCTGCGGGCCAGGAGGGGCCTGTCCTGGGGTCGAGGGCTTCGAAGGGACCCAGCCAGTAGGGGCCTTGGCGTAGCGGCGCCCTACCCCCCCCCCCCCCCGTTTTTGACGGCTTCTTTGACCCAGCTCCTCCAGGCAGACTGACGCGACGAAACCTGCACGCGCTCGAGCCTGTCGGCGACGCGCCCTGCGTCTGTCGCCCAGTGGTAGAGCTCCTGAGCAGAGGCGTCCTGCAGCACGGCTCGAGAAGGCTGCCAGGAAATCCACTCCTGGCAGTTCCTAAGGGTGGGAGGGCCTCGGACGATATTGTTAATGATACACTGGGTATCACTCCCCAGCCAAGACACCCCCTTGTTTCTTATATAATGCAGCTCCAGGATCCAAATATGGAGGGAACGCCACCCCCTGGCCAGAGCACACCCTACAGGATACGGACCCCCAGTGGTCTGAATCTCGGGAACGGACTGGATTTTCGGACCCTGGACCTTGCCGCGGCATTGATCCCCGAGCTCCTGGTCCAGACAGAAGACCCTGCACATTTCGTCCTCGTATAACCCCAAGAACTCGGAGAAAAACAGCTGGAGCCTGTGAACGCCAGGCGCTTCTTCGAGGCGAGCAGCGAGCGTGCCCCAGTCCACCGGCGACGCCGGAGGCCCGAAGGGAAGCTCAGCTCGATCCCGGGGAAAACTCTTGGGGCTGAACAGGCGCGGCACCTCAGGCATCACGGCCTTGTGACGCATCACGAGCTGCACGGCCCAGTGCGGCTTCCGGGTAGAGACTCGACTGCGACGGACTGAGGTGACAGAATTGGCCAACCCAGGCGAGACCAAGAAATAGTCAAGAACTTTCCAGACTTTACCACATCTGCACGTAGGAAGAGAAGGCGCACATATCGTAGCTCGAAGACGAGATTCCCACCCGCACTCACGAAGGGCTCGGGGGGGTACAGTTCCAGTCTCCACCTATGACGCACGGTAATCTCCACCCATGCAGCAGTTCCCCTAGCCTGGCTAAAAGATGAGACCCCTCAGGCCCCAAGGCCATTCTCCCCGTCGGAAGGTAAAGTGAAACAGCTAGGAATCCCCCAGGGACATACGCACTGACCCAGCATATGTGGACCCTGTGGGGGCTCGGAAGGCGTGGATAATTAGCCCCAGGCGGCAGGCTCATCCCGAACGATCGACGACATCCGACACCGACACCATTCGAAAGCCCGCCGTCCTGGGCAACAACAGAGGGCCTCAGGCTGCACTGCCAGCCTAAGGACGCCAATCTATATTCAGCCTCTTTAATCTGGAACTGAGCTCGACCGATCTCCTGAGTCAAAACGACATCGGCCCGAGATTCAGCAGCCAAAAACCGACAAAGAGGCCCCCAACCCGATGAGCTTGCAGTCTCAATCACAAACTCGCTTCTGCGCTTCGCTGCCTGCAACTTAGGAGGAGGGGAAGGAGGAGGAGGACAAGGGGGAAGGATGCAGGCAGCTGGGCGCAGGCACTGGTCAAACTCGCGATGGGCTCTCGCCCGTGGCCGCCAGGGCTGCCTTGGCACGCGCCAGGGCATCAGGGGCAGGCGCCTCAGTAGACGGAGAGGCCACACCGCCGCCGTCGGAGAACGCCTGCTTCTCCACGGCCACGTCCTCGGGGACCTTCTGCTCACAGCGGACGCCATCGCCTCCTCATTTACGCTTCTTCTTGAGGCGCTCCGAGTGCCCCTGGTGCTGCTGGGCCAGGGACTCCGCCTTCTCTTTGACTGAACTGAACAGATTCTCCGTGACAGACATGAGCCCCTCGGCCAGCAGGCGCTTCCTTTCCTCCAGCTGGGACTTGTCAGTGGCATCCAACTCCTGCACATCTCCCAAGCCGAAAAGGCTCTCGTCGTCGACAAAGATGTCCCGGATGTTTCCTTCCAAAATGTCTCGAATGCACAGCTTCGCTGAAACTCCATGCATCGGCGCCTGCTGCTGCGCGCCCAGGGTCTTGGCGTGCAGCGCGGCCACCGCCTGCTGGTACACGGTCTTGGCCTCCTCGACTTGGTCGACCAGGCTCGCGACCACCTGCCGCTGCTCCGCATGCTGCTGGGTGAGGCGCTCGAGCTTCTCAGTCGCATCCAGCAGCTGCTTCTCCACGTACTGTAGGTTGACATGCGCCTCTCCCGCCACATCATGCGCTGCACGTCCTGGCTGAGAGCGTCGCACTCGTTCCTGTTGGCAGGCATTGATGAGCTGGCCATTGTCCGTCTTGCTACCCAACTGCTCCAAACTCTGCAACTCCGCGTCCGTGAGGCTCTTGAGGTCCTGGCCGCCGCCGCAGCCGCCAGGCCCACGGGCCCCTGCACGCCGAGGAGCGAGGTGTAGACCAGGAGGAGGAAACACACCTTGGCTCATCTGAACGCCAGGCTGGCCCTTTCGCGGCAAGAAGACCTCTCCCGACGATCGCGGCACACCGCAGTGTTTGCACCAGTCCCAATCTGCCTGATTCTTTCCGCAACCACAGGCACACTTCCACCTGGCGCCGACAGAGTTGTGCCAGCCGCCCGTGTACGTCTGCTGCGCTGCGTATTTGCCTGCACCTTTGCCCGCTCCTTGCTGCCAGCCCTTGCTGAACGACATGGCTGTACGCTCTGCAGGGTACGAAGCGAAATCCTTCCCGCTGGCGGGCCTCTGGCGGCCCTGGAGAGCGGTGCGTGCAGGCCCTGCGCTTGGC